TATATTATTTAGAATTTTTATTGAAGTCTAAATGACATGACACCAAATAAAAAAGTCTAAACAACTAGGGGCTCGATACGACATAAAATAAAGAGGCCCAAGAAAAAGTCCAAGCAACTAGAGGCCCAAATGACACAACATAAAATAAAGAAGTCCAAGTCAGTTATCATGTCATTTGAACTCTAAATTTAGTCTAAAATTTTGATCAGTATAGTAGTACTGTTTTAGTAATACAGAGATTTCAAGTTTAATATTTTTTCATATTTTTAATGGTTAACCATTCTCTTAAAGACATATTTTAATTTAGTTCAAATTACGGTGATCAATCACTGAACTCAAAAAGTAATTAATTTTTTGTTTTTCGCTGGTTGTATAGGAAAAAAACGACAAAAAAAACTAAGCTCCTTGCGTGGACGAGAGAGCTTGATTATCATTCATCACTTCTTGTCTAATCATTTGCGGTAGATCATTTGCACTCAAGGAGCCTGTGTATCGTGTAGCTAGGCGCCATTTAGCCAAGGCATGAGCAGCTTTGTTCGAATTCCTGTAAGTATGAGTCATTGCCCAATCCGGATGAGCCATTGTTTATATTTTTTTCTTTTTAAGTAATTAATATAAACATGAATACCCTACGACCAAAAAACAAAAGAAAGAAAGAAAAGAGAGGGACACCTTTGACTACCACATATAAAGTAGTGTGTATCACAGCTTCTTGTATGATCACCGACTTTACCGACATTAGATACGACCTCACAGCGGCGGAGTCGGAAATGTCGGCATACTCTAATTACAAGACTTATAATTTTTCCCATAAATAAAAAAAGTGATACATTTATATTTTTAACATTATATTTGTTAGGTAAAAATTCATTAAATAGAAAAAATTCAAAAGTCAGTATACATAATCTATGAAAACAAAAATAAAAAATAAAAATGGTTGATTAGAAGGCCAATCATAATCGCTTACAATTGATCCCAGCGAGTTTTCGTACTTTTACACAATAATTTCATTATTAATGTCATTGAAACATGTAATCAAATTATCTGTTATTCATTGATCATTCATTTGATTACACAATTAAGTTCTCACAATCTTTATTGTTGAAAATGATTTCTCAACAGTTACGATGGGTAATATCAACGCCAGTCAAAGTCATAATTGAAGAAACCGGGAATATACCTGTAAGGGATGAAACCCTCCACTCAGGATTTCGGCTTGACCTCCGCGCGTTCGGGAGTAACCTTTACCCCTCTTCCTGATCCGGAGCCCTGGCCTAGCCTAATGTGGGGAGGGCGCACCGTATCCCACATCGGAAGAGAGTCGTCTTCCCCCCTCGCATATAAGCCCTTGCACTCAAAGGAGGAGGTACCCACTAGTACCTGATCAGGTCGCTGGTGGGTACCTCCTCCTTTGAGTACAAGGGCTTATATGCGGCTTATATGCGAGGGGGGAAGACGACTCTCTTCTGATGTGGGATACGGTGCGCCCTCCCCACATTAGGCTAGGCCAGGGCTCCGGCTCAGGAAGAGGGGTAAAGGCTACTCCCGAACGCGCGGAGGTCAAGCCGAAATCCTGAGTGGAGGGTTTACCTCCGCGCGTTCGGGAGTAGCCTTTACCCCTCTTCCTGAGCCGGAGCCCTGGCCTAGCCTAATGTGGGGAGGGCGCACCGTATCCCACATCGGAAGAGAGTCGTCTTCCCCCCTCGCATATAAGCCCTTGCACTCAAAGGAGGAGGTACCCACCAGCGACCTGATCAGGTCGCTGGTGGGTACCTCCTCCTTTGAGTGCAAGGGCTTATATGCGAGGGGGGAAGACGACTTTCTTCCGATGTGGGATTGCCTTAGGAAAGGGTCCTATTGGCGAAGAGAGGTAAAGGCTACTGGGGGGTCGCCCGCGTGGGTTAACCCAGGTCAAGCCGAAATCCTGAGTGGAGGGTTTCATCCCTTACAAAAAGGCGCCTTTATGTAAGGGATGAAACCCTCCACTCAGGATTTCGGCTTGACCTCCGCGCGTTCGGGAGTAGCCTTTACCCCTCTTCCTGAGCCGGAGCCCTGACCTAGCCTAATGTGGGGAGGGCGCACCGTATCCCACATCGGAAGAGAGTCGTCTTCCCCCCTCGCATATAAGCCCTTGCACTCAAAGGAGGAGGTACCCACTAGTACCTGATCAGGTCGCTGGTGGGTACCTCCTCCTTTGAGTGCAAGGGCTTATATGCGAGGGGGGAAGACGACTCTCTTCCGATGTGGGATACGGTGCGCCCTCCCCACATTAGGCTAGGCCAGGGCTCCAATACCTTATATGTTTTTAGCAAGATCACCATTTGTTAAGGCATCGACGTAATTTGTTTGGCTCTAGCTGCAAATTTCGTATGTTTTGCGTGAGTTTTTTTTTTTTTTGGGACGGAGAGTGAGACCCAATTCAATAGCATAAACAATATAAATATCTAGGGTGGGCCAGTGCCTCCATGGGCCCCGCAGCTTACAAGGACTTCAACCTACTCACATATGATGCAAGTGTAGCAATCCAAAGAGTAATACTATAAAAATTTAATTCGGGATCTAATCAACAAATCTCCTCTTTTGTTTTTGTCTCTCTCCCCTCTTGCACAGTCATAATACAGTACGGATATTAGAATTGGTACCCTAAAACAAGAATAATATGACATAAAATTCAATTCAATTGGAATCCTGGTTTTAGGGTTTTAGAATTTTCATATAACTTTGTGATTTTGGAAATTGAACATTACCTTCCATTTTCTTTCAACCTTCAAGAGCTTCAACACTAAAATTTATTGAACCCAATAATGACTTCAGTTTGATCATCTAATCATAATAAATCACTCATTTACAAGATTAGAGGGTGAGAGGGAGACTAAATATTGGGTGTAAGGGTGATAACAAGTCATCACCGTGTTATTATCCACTGTTATTTAGTGGTTATTTTTAGGCATTCGGTGATTGATTATGAAATAATATAGAAGAATGATTTTACTATAATATGTAAAATCTATTTACTTACTTGTTATGCTCTTATTAGATAATAACACCACGTGTTGATAATAACACGGTGTCAATGTTACATCCAATATTTTCTCCTGACCGGCACCGCTGTCTGGGTCGCCAGCCATCTTACCATGATACCATTCCTGTTTTTATCATCTTAAATGTATTTATAGTAACGTTGACGAAGGGACTATTTTGGCAGGGGGAAGAATCGTTCAAAGATGATGAAATGTAGAGGATTGTGAGCGTCCCCTTTATTGAACTTCAAAGGTCCTAAACCCACCCCTCTATTCCCACCTTTCTTTCTCCCTTTGGGACAATAGACCCCCCCCCCCCCCCCCCCCAAAAAAAAAAAAAAAACCTCACCTACTCCCAAACAACTGAAAAAAAAAACGAAAAGAAAAGAAACCCCAACGAGGAAAAAGAACAAGAAATCAGTGCAAGTTACATGAATCTAGGAGTTGTTCGGGGTGGAATGTGAATTTTCCCTCCTTTTTTGACTTTCTTATTTCTCTCCAAAATAAAAATAAGGCACTGTTATAAACAAAATCGGTGTGCATTGGATACAACACAAGTCAAACGCATATATATATGTGCTTGCTTAATGCTTTGACTGTAGACAAATATACAGCACCATTTTGTGCATTAGATAAGACACAATTTGTACGAATGCATTCTTGCTTAATACTTTGACTATAGGCAAATATACAGCACCATTTTCTACGACGCACCTAACTAACCTTGTCTATGGGTGCAACTCGGGCGGGTTAGATAGTCAACCCTAGTCTAACCCTAGGTATATAATCTTCGACCTTAACCCTAACCCTAATCCTAACCCTACCTCGGGTTGAAGAACTCAACTCGAGCACTTACCGAGTTTAATTCGGACGAACTCGAGTTGAATTCGGATTAATGATTTCTAATTAATTTCGGGTTATTTTACAGGTTCAATTCAGGTAGAGCCCAAAATATGCTTGTTGTTCTAAACTTAATACATATATTACATAATATTCACCTAAATTAACAACCAATAACTTTAACAAAGTTTTAACAGTGTTAATGCTAAAAAAAAAATAAAAATGATCAAGAGAAACAGAAAACGATAAAACAAAAATAAAACATTAGTGCTAATGCTTTATATATATAAATTTTTTTTTTTTAAATTGTCGGGTTCGGGTTGAAATCGGATTAGGATTTTCTAACTCAAGCCCAACCTAAATTGAATTTGGGTTGGGATTTTCTGACCCAAGCCCAACCCAAGTATTAAAAACCCTTGCTCAACTCCTAATTTTTTCGGGTTGGGCTCGGGTTGCCCAACCCAAGTTGCACCCCTAACCTTGTCTATAGAACATTGTAATAATTAGACATTGTAGAACGTACTTTATGAATAGATTTACATAGACGATTTAGCAAAATACAGGCATCTGCTGGTCCAACTAAATCCGCAGAAATTGAAAAAGAAAAATAACTAAACTATTGGTCCACTGCAAATCGTGATTTCCCAACACATATGCATGGGACTGACGATGAATCGTATCGTGCAACATGTCTTAAGTTGCATTAAGGTGACATTGACTGCACCTATACACGACTTATTTATGAGGGAAGCCTAGCAAGTTAATCTGATTATAGACAAAAACTATTTAAGTCTAAATCTATATCCGATAGTTCCATATCATGTGATGCCTTTCGACCAGTTGGGAAAAATTAACTCAATGTATCAATGACATTGTACGAGTTGGTGACCGTGCCAGGCTGATTTAAATAGGTTCATATATTCTAATATGTCTGCCTGCATTGCAGACTAGTCAAGTTGTTGGTCATTTAAGGTTGGTAATTTTTGGACCAAACCCCTTACTATTCAAGCCGCACATTCACGACGGACCATTTACTAGCCCGTTGATTGGATTATTCATGAAATTCACCCAGCGAAAGAGTGTTTAAATGGCTATAACATGCTTGCTTGCTGATGTGGGGTCTGTCAATATGATCGGTTATATAAGCAATCCTATTTCAAAAGCTAAATCTTTACAATAAAAAACTTCGTTTCAACCTCATTGGACACTCGTATAATAAAAGGTATCCCAGTACACAAAACTCCAACTCTAATCCCTACGAGATATGGAAAAGGGTAGATGTATGCAACCTCACTCTGCTTGCTGAGCCTGAGAGGTTGTTTCATGATGTAAAGTCGTGACAGTGACATCCAAGTTGTCTCATGACTTAAACTCAGTGACATCCAGGTCACGCACAAAAGACAATTGTATATAGTCAGGCATTTCAATCAAATGACTTCTACGTCCTAAACAGAAAAATGGATTACCTGAAACTGCATTTATACTATCGACCAAAACGGCTTCCTGTTCCATCAAGAAACTGATCAGTATGCCACCCTTTGGCTTGCAGTTCAGAGAGAAATGGAGAGAACACATTATTCATTCTCTCATAAGCCTCTCCTAAGACATTAGCACTTGTCTCATGAACAGACTTCTCCATGTCTGCAGCATATGCCGCTACCAACCAGCCCCTTAATGCGTCTTCACCAGTCGCATTGTGCTCCAATACCATGTCAGTCCATCTAGTTCCACAATTTAAAAGAAATTTCTCCTCCGGGAATATTTCTTTAAGTTGGTGAAAATTTGAAGGCCTAACAACATTATGCAGAGCCCTTCCGACTTTAACACTACCGGCATCCTCAATCAGCCGCCCAGGGAATAGGAGATCCTCTTGGTATCTTAAGTCAGCAGGGCTTGATATTTTTCCACTCTGGTTTAATCTCAGATGAAAAATAACTCAATGAAACTGTCAATAAAGGTTAATATCTTAAGACGGGTGGATTCAGATAATACCTTTAGAAATTCTGCCACAATCATTGCAGTTCTCTGAGGATTCAATGTGTTGACAGGAGCAGCTCGCATTTCTTCACAGACACTGTAAATATGTATAACGGAAAGGAGAGGTCCAACAACCAGCTGCAAGATTTAATCATGGTCACAACCACCATGCAAATCCTAGTGTAAAAGAATGACATGATCCAACGCATCTTCCAAAGAAACAAATATGCTTCTTTTGTTTAAAGTTTCAAAAGAGTTTTCAGCTGCATGTCCAACCCAAATGAGTTGTAGCTAAACACATTAAGCCCTGAAAACTATGACGTAGAGTTCTACAAACTTCCATTAATTGCTTAGCATCTCTGAAATGTCCAAAAACAACATGAAGTAGTAATGAACCTAAGACCTCAACCACTTATAGACTATGATTAATGCCTTTGGCTAGTCGTAAAAATTAGCAAAATATTTAAACACCAAAAAGCAACCTTGCCATTTATATGGTGATGATGGCAACGGGGTGGTGCTGTCTACAATATCGTAAAAACTTGTAAACCTACAATATAGTCAAACAATACCAGTTATTCAAAAACATCACCAAACTGTTTGATTGGCAGTTCACTGGAAAAACTCTAGAAAACAACTAATACAGATACGTTAGTGCTGATTACTTTATGATTCAATTGTTTATAACAGATTTCTTGTAGCTTTGGCAACCAAGACACTCTTTGTGTTAAGTATTAAAGCTTATATACATTTTAAAGGCAATACAGGGTACGAAATAACTTTTGTTATTGCCCAGTTGACTACTTTCCATGATTTGGATTGTGATTAAAGTTGACAATCGTATGTATAATCAAGTAATGGAGACATCTTCAATCTAGCTGACTTATTCAGGATGGAGTTCTTAAATTTTTGAACGAGGAACATGCATGTAGCTTTGGCATGAGTTTTTAGAGAGAGAGAGTACAAGTGTTTTTGACATTCTAAACAAACCCTAGTACCACAGCAAGTCATGAGAAAACGTAACAGCCATTGCAGCACCCTCGGAGGCTTGGACAGTCATGACCAATGCAGGAACGGATGGCCATAAAGTTGTGGTTCTTAACCCCATGACTGTACAGCCGTTAACAATAAAGGAGCTAAGATCCTGTCAAACAAATGAATCCACCAATGTTTAATTTCATATTTAGATTTCATTGAGCACTTTCACCTTAATTTGTCTTTCCTTCTTCTTCTTCTTCTTCGAGAGAGAGATTAATGGATGTGTTCAGTGAGATACAATGGTTTATTGACTCTGTCAAGCTCATGTTGGCCAATTACGGAATCCAGCATGGTTCAAAAGTATCGGCCGATACCGATACCATTACACGATACGTATAAACGCCGAATCTCGCACCACTCGGCCGAATTGGCCTGAGTTGTATCCTAGTCAATCTCGAGTTGTCGAGTTATCATCACTGAATCAGCCGATACAATTCTGCGACGTCGGAGTATGACTTGAATCTTTCGTCATGTTCAACATTTTCTTTTAGGTTGTATCGCCCGATACCGCGTCGCGATGCTGCGACCAATGTGTTTCAAAGCTCTCCGAGTCAAAGACCGATACCGTGACCTTGAACCATGGAACCCAGTAACCATTATAATAAGGTCCATCCATTGCTTCTTTCAATCAATTTTAGAAAATGAAAAACCCTAACAAATGATTACTTGCAGGCATACTTCTCATTCTAAATAGAGAAAATAAGGAAACGTGGGAATAATTTGATTGATCAATAACTAGAAATAAGAACAAAATGGTGGTGACTAATGATTGTATTTTTACCTTTCCTTGCATTGATGAACAAACAGTAGATGCTAACTGGATCCCTGCCCCTATTCCAATGACATTAAAAAGAGTCGAGATGGCCTCTCCTTTCGCAAATAGGTCACTAAGGTTGCCTTCTTTGGCAAATGAAGAATATATTGGCAATCTTGTTGCTCTTGCTGCAACAACAGCCATCCCCTGACAGCCGCAAAGAAAATGAAGTTCAACATGGACATATGAATAAAGGAAAAGAAAATAACACTTCACATAAGATAGTTTGATAAGAGTGGTCAAGAGATCACAGAAGACAGTATCAAATTATACACTGATTCCTTAATCATTCACCTTCATATCTCAATAACTGTCAACTATCAGAAGGGTCATATTATATGCAAATAGCAAATGCCTCACCTTTGCAAAATTGCCAAGGCCTGCCACTTCAAGAAATAGGTGAGGACATAAGGGGGAAAGAACTTCTAAGCCAGTGCCCAAGTCATAGAGCACATCAGCTGCATGTTGAAAAGCTCATTCCATTTAATAATCTCATCAAGCCAAGCCACAAAATCTATTAATAAATTACAAGCAGCCAATATTAGTAACCAATGCAAACAAGTTGCAGATTAATTATAGGACAAGTGGTAGTGTTCTGGAGCCAAGATACAAACCCAAAATTCTCCAACGTTTGGGCTCCGAATCCATTCTTGCACCCAAATTACTACATATAAGTTTTCCTACGTGCTGCATGCCATCCTTTAATATCTGCAAGTCATCGACACAATCAAAAAGATTTTTCAGTAGAGGTATTGGATGATTCAATACTTGTAGACTGTCCAACCAATTGATATCTTACCCAACTTACAGCAGTCGCCTGAGCAGGAGTAGGTCGCAAGCCTGCAGCGAATAGCAGTGACTGCGAAGGATTAAGAATATTGAGACAGATATTCATGGTAGGGACTATTCCAAAGCATCAATGGAGAAATAAAACAATAATAATTACTGTGGAGGGTTGCTGGCAGACAGATTAAACACCTCAAAGGCAGTAAAAAATGCATAAAAATGAAGAGACAAGCACAGTACATAAATTTCATCCTGCACTCAGTTTCTTGAAATGGATAGTATAACATAAATTTTAGTTATGTTGCCCTGCAGATGCTTCATAAATACCAGAAGAAGACCTGAGTTGATAGCACAGATAATGTTGCACTGGACAAGTGTTGTAGTGCCCGAAATTGTGTGTATCTAAGATAGCCCTCGTTAACACTGCACAAGCAAGATGCCAATAACCAAGTTAAACAAAAAATTACAATAAAGTAAGTAGATAAATAAGCGAGATTTTTTCTTTCACAAGTACAATACTAAAACAGGAGTAAATGACACAAGCTTGCCTATATGGATAACCAGAAGGAAAAAACTTATTTAGGAAAGATTCGACCATCCTATGAACCACTGGTCTTGAGTCATCAAGCACCTTCACCTACAACATTTCAAAAACCACAGCTTAAAGAATAGAGAAATATATAGCAGACGAAAGTTACTAAGCTATAAACAGATAACTATGTCAGAATTCAAGCTCCCATGTGAACATATGAGCATGACAATAAACAGAAAACTATGGTGTCCTCCCGTGACACTACGATGGAACAAAAAGAAAACTGTATCTAAAGACCATGATAGAAAAGCTGGCCATATATCTTGCTCCACACAAAACAGCACGTCAACCCACCTTTGGAAACTCATTCACCAATCCCCAGACAACAACATGACTCTGTTAAGCTAAAACATAATATCAGACACCTTCCCCAAAAAAAAACACATAATATCAGACCACTAAGGCACTAATATTCCCATCAAATGATAATGGGGAGGTTAGTAGAAACCCTCAAATCCAAAAAAACCACCTGGTTCCTTCCATATATAAAAACTAATAATAATATGTGCTGAAGGCACTAAGTAAATCTGAAAATCTCGAGCACCGGTCGTGCAATATAAATATTTTCAAACATTATTTTAGTTTTTATTATTTTTTTTAGTTACATAATTCAAAATCTTAAATCAATATGAAATCACTATTTTCTAAATAATTTTGACAAAACTTTCTCTAAAAACACGACCCCTAAAAAATATCAACGTGTACACAATTTATATATTTAATCATTATACTTAAAAAATTATCTCTTTTTTTGGTAAGAGTCGATATTGGTGTATGTGTGTGTTAGCGGGTGTATAGAGAGAGAATATGAGATAGATAGAGAGAGTATCTGAGTATGAGGTACATAGAGAGATAGATTTATATGATTGATGAGAGTGTGTTCTTAAAATGTGTGAGAAATAGGAGAGAGTTGTAAAAGGAATAAAAATTCAATGAGAATTATATATATATAGGATGGCATATGATAACGAACTTCGAAACAAAAACAATTTTGCTTCAGTTAGGCCTAAGTTCTATGATGCTTTCCGAACCCTCTGGAGTTAGAATTCTAAAGAGCAAGTTAGATTCGTGGTGGATATATGCTGGAACAAAAGTAATTTCCATAATGAAAGACCATAATATTCAAAAAGATAAAAACGAATCAACGCCCAAAACCCTTGCTTACGGGGCAAGTGCAATGAATCAAAGAATAAATAACAAAAAATGTTTATAAATATTCTAAGACTGACTATAGAGGAGGAAGGGGACTACTCACAGAGAGTTGACCATCGGATTCGAACTGATAGTGGCGAGAGACGGAATCGGCGGTCTCAATCCAGAAAACCGGGCCTTGTGGCGGTGGATTCTCGGCCTCCTTCTTTTGCATCCTTATCTTCCCCTATACATGAAACAAAGTCGAAAATATATACAGTTCAATGTCAAAAGAAAGTGAATGTGAGAGAGGGAGAGAGAGAGAGAGAGAGAGGGAGAGAGGACCAGCAAGTCCATGGAGTCAAGAGAGGAAATGCCCGAAGGATAAGAGGAGAAGTCCGCCGCGAGAGAATCGGGAATTGGAGCGAATACAAGATTACCGTTTGTTCCAGGGGTGAAGCATGCAACAAATTCAAATACGGTGTCGTGGGGTAGAAAGTTAACATGTCGTCTTGTTGGGTGCGGGACGTCGTCGTTTTCTTGTGTTGATTGCAAGGGTGTACAAGAATATGAAAATTCGACACCGACTCCGAGTCCGTTCCGCCTTAGCCTCCGCCGGAGTTAGAGGACAAACTCAAACACCGATCAGAATCGATGTCAAAGTCGGAGTTTCAAAACTTTTTCAAAAAAATTATGACTCCAATTCGGATTTTAATTAATAAATAATTTTATATAAATTATATTATTATAAGAAAATTTAAATCCCTATTATATAATTTAAAAACAAGCTCAAATGTCAAAATAAAGTTCAAATTCCATTCAGAATTTGTCCAAATTCCATCAAAAGTTTTTTAAAAAAGAAGTGTTAATTACACTGGAAGTCCCAAAATATGAAATTTATCTCATTTTAGTTCTCAATATTTCAATTGCATTATTTTCGTACTTGAAACATTAAATATATTTCTATATAGTTTCTCAAGCAGACAGTGTCCACATTGTTCATGATTTTTATCATAAACTTGTCATATGATACTTAAATATATACACAAAAATAATTTAGATAACTTTTAACTAATTTTTTTATCTAAATTTTGGTTAAATACCTACCTAAATCACACAATTTTGATTATAAAATATTTAAATTTTGATCAAAAGTTACCTATATTACACATTTTTTTTTCAAGAGCTACACAAATTTTGTTTAAGAGCTATCCAAATTATTTTTTTGTTATTTAAGTATCATACAACAAGTTTATTATAAAAAATTATTAACAATGTGAATACTGTCTACTTGAAAGATCATATCAAAATATATTTAATATTTCAAAGATTAAAATGATGCAATTGAAATATTATAGACCAAAATGAAACAAATTTCATACTTTGAAGACCTCTAGTCCAATTAACCCAAAAAAAACCAAATATGAGCCCCATGGCATTGAACCCCTAATGATGCTCTATCGAAGTTCAAAAAATTTCCCTTTCTTTTTTATGTTGGGAAACTTACTTTTCTTTCCCTCCCCCTTTTTTGAACAAATTATAGTAATATTCTTTATGCAAGTGATTTAGGTCCCACTCGAAAATCTATACTTGGCTCCCTCTGCACCATGCACACCGGAAGTTGACTTGCCAGAGAGTGTGAAAATCCCTAAAAGCATCTTAATCATCCCCAACAGTCTATTATCATTTTTGTAATGCCACCTCTAAGAAACAAGAGATTCTGAAAACAAAACGAGGATAATGATCATATATACACATGAGGGTTAAGATATCGTGAAGAAACAAATGGTGGCAGTTCAAGCCTCCCATAAATACTTGTCCACTACATAGCAGAAAACCGCTATGGATTGGAAAATTCATGGACCAAAGAAAAATTGGTATCAACCAGCATCCTGCAAGTCTAGGGTAATGCCATACAGAAGCACTTCTCACATAATCAAATCAGGATCATCATCATAGTCAAAATCTGGTTCACTCGATTGCCTCATTCTCTTTGCATCTCTTGGGCCTCCCCTGCCCTTCTTTGGTCTTCCTCTGTTCAATGGACAAACAAAAATGACATAACAATGAGCAAAGATGAATAGAGGCATCATTTATGTTGAGCTTTTTAACATTTCAAGCATCACTGTTTTCTTCATCAGCTTGATGTATTCATCCATCACGGCAGAAAACACAATGCAAGGAAGAGAAAATTAAGCACTTACACTCCACTTGCAGATACACCACCACCATCTCGTACAGCAGCATGCTCTTCGGCCTGTGATTGTGCAAACTAAAGTGAAGGATACTTCCAAATTACATGTGAGGCATGACCTTTTTTTGGACAAGAAGTCCTAAATTTACAGAAGGCATGCACTAAATATTTGTCATAGAAAAGTATAGACAATAGGTTGTCACTTTTATATGTTTATCGTGCAGTGTACACGAGATTCTTTCAAATGCAATAATGATGACCAAGTTGGCAACAATAAAGGATGATAGCAGGAAATACTTTCTCATTCTCCATTCTTTCTATACTGATAAAAAACATGTTAAGTGCTTCTTCAAAGATGACCAAGGTGGGCCTTGAATGACAGAATTTCAAGTTGGGAACTACAGCCCAGAAGCAATGTGGTTACAAGGGCGACTAATAATAGGAAAGGATTGTGTGCTGACGCGTAACAAGGTGATAAAAGAATTCTATATACATAATGGATTGAGTGTTGTGCTTCAGAAGTTTGATGAACTTGCTTTCGTGATGATGACTTTTTGTGAAAGCATGAAAGTAAAACAGATAATCAATGAAAAATGCAGGAACTGTCATCACTACTAAACATCATTCATCACGAATACATACTGCTGGCGAGGTGATTGAAGATAAGGAAAAGAGCCTATCTTCGGGCTGAAACTTCCTGGACCGTTTTAAGCTGCATCCATAAATTTGAAGTTCCAGTCACTGATGTCATAAATAATATAATCCACCTAAAACCAGCCCTGTGGCGTCAAAAAGTTTAAGCAAACAATAGGATAAATTCAGACTAGATGTATTTAGTAATTTTCTTTGTTCTTTCTCATTTTACCATTATGACGTTGTTGCTAACTGTCCCTTGCCCTCTGGGCATCACTTTTTTCCCTCAACATTTAAAGAGTCAATACCACATCAATTTGTGTTTGTCAGAGAGTAAGTGTTCATTTAGGTCCTTTTTTCTTCTTTACTTAAACACTGTTATTGAAAATGAAGACCGCCTAATAAAAAGAAGCAGCACAAAAATAAATGTGTCAGGAACCAGCATCTTTCAAGGTTGAGTCACATATAAAAACAGCATCAATGTTAGTTTAATATACTCAAAATTTCATCTATATCCAATTAATTTTTTTTGTTTTCACATAAACTAGATTCATTGATGCAACAACAAAGCAAAACAAAACAAAACAAACCCACAAGTCCGACTGCTTAAGCACGACATATTTCCAGAAGGTGATCTCATCAACATATCATACTATCACTTTTGGGATTACAATGATTATGATGAAATGCCTTTGAAAATTGAAATGATAAATCATATCTCCAAAGGATGCATTGTGAATATTGATTAATCCAGAGCTTCCCTTCATTGGCAAAACTTGCTGATAAAATACTGAAGGGAAAAACATGAACTTAACCAGCAACAAGACAAAGGTAGCAGAAGAAGTCTTTAATTGTGGGTCAGCAAGTCACAGAAAAAGTGATCATTTCAAGAACAAATGACCTTCACAATTTCACCCATGTATGCTCATGCAATTAAATGAACATCACAAAGATACCCATCTAATTGCCAAAGTACATCAAGTACGTACAGACAGATTGGAAAATGGGGTTAATGGATTTACAGAGTAGTGCTCTTTGATGCTGATAGAAACCCGTCAAAACCTTTCAATACATTGCCACATTGGCTTGGATCTTGTAAATAACTTGTTTCCATATCATAAACCTGCAATTAAAAACTGTACTGTTAGGTTCCACAGAAAGAGAGAAGTTCAGATAATCATAAGGTGCATCAGCAAGGAAATTGCAGGTTTTTGAACTGAATAGTGTCACTTAATTGTACACACAAACTCATGGAATCTTCAACAGATGAAGATAAAGCAGCACTGCACGTCCAGGCGACTTCATAATGTAAAAGAAAGAAAGAAAGAAGCCACAAATTCTTAACTAGTGTAGGCACAAAATAACAAATGGTTTTAGCCAAGGTTGAGACTTGTTATGACACTGCTGAAGGTGACATGACAATACACAGATCTTCTAGGTGCCCATTTGATTCTAATAAGATCGTACAGGTAATTTGATCGTAACTACTAAAATCAAAACATTGTTAAGGTTATCTAATAAGAGTCCCCAAAAACCATCGGAAGCTCAACAATGATATATTATAATTTGGGAAGATCAACAATGTTATAACATAATGTAGGAAGATCAACAATGTCAATTGAAAAGCCCAACAAAACCCTAAGAACCCCAGAAATCAGAATACGAGATCATACAGATTTAGCGTAGAAACACATAAGACACATAATACCATCCTCTGCAAATAAACCTGCTTTTCGATGTTTCGAAGTTCATCGTGAAGTTTGGCTCTTTTGCATAGCAGTGCAGCAAGCATTGCTGATGGGTTCGAAGAGGTTCGTTGCCCTGAAAACCAATTAAGAAACAATAAATCATCAGACCAACTTTCAAATTAGGAAGGGACGAAAAAAGGTTAGTCCCAACGGCTACCTTCGGCCTCCATTTTGCCTCCCGAACTCGTCCGATTTAGCAGTGATATCCCTCTCTCTCTCTCTCTCTCTCTCTCTCACAGACACACAGAGATTAAGATGTATGTTTGTACATGTCCGTGAATTAGGGCAATCAAAGTCCTCTTTGCAAAAGCCTTTCGATTTCGGACCATAATAAAAGTCCGCCGTAAAACGGTTTTCTTAAAAAAAAGTGTTTGCTAATTCTCCATTCGATGTAAACACTGGAGATTAGTAGATTGGTTTGGATTGGGCTGAAACATATTATGTTGTCCCAACTTTATTGAATTGGGCTCAAATAATAGGCCCAATAATAAGATTGGGTTTAAAAAATCAGCCCAGCACAAAAGTCCAAACCAATTCTATTATCAGCGATGAATATCCTTTTTATTCTGAATTTACTAATGCTAATGGGATATAATTTGGAGATATAATTTAAATTTTAATGCATTATAATAATTGAATTGATAATAAAATTTATCCAACATTTTTTTTCCGAGCAATTCTATATAGAGTTAAAAAATAGACTTAAAAATTAGATTTGATAATTTCAACCATTGAATACATTGTGAGTCCCTACATTTATTGGGACTCACTACTTATTTAATGGTTAAAATTATTAAGTCTATTTTTAAATTTATCTAGCATTATTCTTTTTTTTAACAAGACAGTATGCCACGGGTTCAACGATGCATAATAGACAGTAGTAACTAAAAACAAGCGAACGGAGAAAGAATTGACACAACTAGCTACCTTTCCGAAAGCTAGTAGCACTATTGAGTTAATATAAAATAAATAATAATAAATTCATTGAGTTAATATAAAATATGAATAACCCATTCAATTAGTATCATAAAGACATATATTTATAATCTTTATATTCTATTTAAATGTAGTCTGTCCGGAGACTCCCAAACCTTCATTCCTAATTTTCTACAATTTAGAGTTTTTATAATTTAATAATGTTAGGTGACTTCTCCTCATGGATCTTTTTTTATTTTTTATTTTTTATTTTTTATTTTTTACAAGGGTAACTTTTTACCTATATTAGTTCTCTTTTAAATTTTTCTCTATATCTATACTATTTATTACAACAATTAATTTAAGAGAGAGAGTGCTTAGAAAGCTCTTCCCTCCTCAAACATTAATTTCTCATAATTTTAAATTATTTAATACAAATACATTGATCTATCATATTTGGGTTTTAAAACTATTTAAAATTTAAATTTTTTATTATTTTTGTCAGACTAATTCAAGTTTAATTTTTTATTAAATTAATTTGTCATGTAATTGTTCAATAATGGAATAGAGGTGGTGATAGGGATTTGGGTGGGGTGACGATAGGGTTCGTAGTAAGATGGGGACGAGAACTGATCGCAGAGGGTCATCGTTCATTAATTAATAATAAAATATATCAATCATAACACATTATTACTATTAAATAAAAATTCACTCCTTTTTTTACATATCTTTTTTGCACATAGAGTATAAGAAAACAATTGCTTTCAATTATTTTACATAGAGTATAACAAACTAGGGCAAAGGAGAAATATGCTCTCCCATTTCTCCCTTCCGTTTTTTTGGCCATCATGTACACCATTTGTCTAACTCTACTTTTTAAGGTGATGGTGTAGTGGTAAAGTTGTTTTATTGTCGTCAAAGTGTTGTCAAGACTTTGATTCATGAAATAATCTCGCCAGATACAAGGTAAAACTATATGCATTCGACATTCTCTCAACTTTACAATAGCAAGTGTTTCATGCATTAAGCTGTCTTTTTTTAGGATTGGACAATTAACAATTGTCTTTTTTTAGGAGTGGACAATAAACAATGTAAATTTGTAGCAGAGGAATTGGGAATTTGTGGAACATACTGCTTCGTTATTGTCACCTTGAGTTTATTGATTTCTTCTTGGACAATTACAGAGATCGACTTCCTTTAATAAATATCGTGTTAAAATGAAAAGGTAAAATATAAGATAAATTGTTGCAATGGTGTCTGAGGTATATCAGTCAGCGTACTTTGATTCTTAAAGTTTTAATTTTGTCAATTTTATTCCCAAAATTTAAACATTAAGTCAATATATTCCTTGGTACTAGCAACTATTTAAAAAAGAAACATAAAATATTATGTGCATGTCACGTGTGAGTCTTTAGGGGAATTTGTGGAACATACTGCTTGGCTATTGAAACCCCCGAGTCCGCTGATTTTCCCAAAATTAATTTTCTTATGTAAATATTATGTCAAAATAAAAGAGTAATGTTATTTGTACTTAAAATATTGACCTAGTCAGTTACTGTAATTGATTTAACTATGAATTTCAATATTTATTGGGACTCAATTCTTCCTTAATGGTTGTTACTTGTAATTGATCAAGTTAGCAAATATTTTAAGTTTAAATATATTTTAAGTTTAAATAGCATTTTTCAGAAAAAAAAAAAAAAAAAGAAGAAGAGGAAAATATATTCTGCACACTCTAATGGAGTATGATATATATTTTTTCAGGGCTATGATATAAATTCTCACATGGGCATGCCCGATAGAAAAAGAAATTTTCTGTTATACAACACGGTGTTGTTATTTAAAATGACGTCGTTTTATATATAAAACGACGTCGTTTCCGTTTTAAAGAATAATACCCCTGCTGTATAACAAAGGATCCAGACTCGGCCGGTAGAGCTACTCTATGATGAGTTTGCATAAGCTACAACAGCTCCCAACTAGTTTCCTTAATTATCTCCATAAACTAGGACCAAGTTGACAAAATCAAAAGGGGGAATAGCAAAGTCCGTAACAAACCCAACAAAATCATTTCACATCCATTCGAACAATGAGGAATTCAGATTCATAAACATTGTATGTGTACATATATGATAGATATTCTCCATTATGATCTAAAACGACCACCACAAGAATGGGAGAAAGAAATTTGTGGAATGTTACGAGAATCAGAAAAGATTAAAATTACATAACAAAGATTAAAATTCGTTTGATACGTTATACATAGTTTTGGAAACAAGGAAAATTTCGAATTTAAATCCCAAAACATACTTAGACATCTCAAAATATTCTAGCACAATTTGAAAACTAAGAATTTGGATGTATTTTCCAACATTTCATGGGATCGAAACGAAATTTTATTTTTTTGCTCCATAAGGTTATTCACTGCATTGTCCAAACTGCAGCAAACAGAAGAAAAACTAGAACTACTAAAACTTCCATCATAGTGCAATTACAGCATTTGCCCAAACAGCAATATGCTAGGATAAAGATGGACCTCGGAGCTTTGTCCTTAACAGTATTACGCTAAGAACTCATACAAAACCAATCTACATAACTGGAACCGTCCTGTTGTCGTGCACAGGCGCTGCTCCAACTTCATCTAGCTCCTCATTCTCACCTGACATCTCCTCCAGAGATTTCCCCTTTGATTCGGGCACCAAGAATGTAAATAACATTCCCAAGAAGTTGACCACACCCAACACAATCAGAGAATTCCTAACCCCAATACCTGCTGGATACCCTGCATCTGCCTTGGCCTTGTCCTGGTTCTGAGCCAGATACAAGAACCCGAAAGCCCCAACTATTGCCCCTAGCTTTCCTGATGCAGCTGATATGCCATGACAAGTAGACCGCAACCTTGCTGGGAAGATCTCTGCTGGCACAACAAATGTTGTTGCGTTGGGTCCAAAATTGGCGAAGAAGAAAGTTAGGGAGTACATTGCCACAAACCCAATTCGGTTGTCCTTGTGAGTCCAGTGGTTGTAAGGAATGGCCAGGACGAACATAAACACCGTCATCATGAAGAAACCCATCAACTGAATAGCAAATCTTCCCATCTTATCGATAAAAGCCACTGTGAACCAATAGCCTGGGACAGTACTGCACAGGGCAATAAGGGTTTGTGCCCTTGCAATTCTGTAGACCTCCTCAATTGCATTCATAGTCTTTGGTGCAGGAATCCAACCAATTGCGCTAAAAATGTCCTTTTGGAATAGATTTTGGCTGTAAAATGCAATGTCAAGCAAGAACCATGTGGTTGTCGTACCAAGCAAGTGAAGCCCATGGCGATGAAGAAACTCCTTAGAGAATAAACCAAATGCATTGGCTGGTTTCTCAGTTAGCTGCTCAATCTTTTGTGGTTCTGCCTCAATGTCAACCTGCAAAACCTTTGACATATCTGCTGCAGCCTGTTTTGCATTCTTGGCAACAAGGGCGGTGTAACGAGCAGTTTCCGGCATCTTCATCCTCCAGTAGTATGTGAGTAGGGCAGGAAGTGCTCCAACCATCAAAATGATCCTCCAAAGATAATCTGCTTGTGGAACAGTTGAGCTAATTGGATCAACCTCATAAGCTGGAGCCTTGAACCTAGCCTCAAATGAAGATGAGACTATAATTGCAAAGATGCCACCTGCTAAAATTCCAAATCCTTGCATGGCAAACACGGCAGCAATGAAGGCACCACGAGTCTTCTTGTTAGCATATTCGGACATGATGGTGGCAGAAAGCGGGTAATCACCACCAATGCCAAACCCAAGCCAGAAGCGGAAGAAGCAAAGGGTGGCCATGACTGACTTTGGATCCTTGCCAAAGGAAAGGCCTGAAGCAACAGAGCAGAGGCACATGAGCATCAGAGTCATACCATAGACCTTCTTTCGTCCCAACTTGTCACCTAGCCAGCCAAAGAAGAGTTGCCCCGATAGAGTTCCACAGAATGCCACACCATTGACAGCAGCAGACACATTGGGAGGCAAACTGCCAGGCCTTGCTGCACCATCAACATGGTAGTATATGCGGCCAAGCAATTTGGTGACAAGAGATATGCAGAAGAGATCATATGCATCTGTGAAAAAACCCATCCCGGCAACAATGATTGCAGTGAAATGATACCATTGTGTTTTTGCTACATCGAGCGCATTAAGCACCTGCAAATTTTCCCCAGCCATGGTAATCTTCCTCAAAATCTCTTTCTGTGTATTCTTCCCTTCTCACCAACTTCTTTCTCCGGTATCCCTTTTTGAGAGTTATTTCTGCAAGAATTGAACAATAATGTTAAGAGCATGAACTTCTATTAAACTCTGATTTGACTTGCGAAAAAAAAAAAACCCATATGATAAGATTTCTTGACTGTGTGAATGGGACCGGAGAATAATTAAGAAATTTGTTACTTATGCAAATAATAAATTGATGTAATCACTACTAGTTGTGTTTATACTTGATACAAAAGATAATATCTACTACCTAGAAGAATACAAAGTTTGAGTGTGAGAGCAAAAAGTAACACCAAGGTCCAGACTTCAGAGGGATGGTTATGATATAATGAAAGAAATTGTCCAAAATTAATGGCTCTTTAACAGAAAAAAGACCAAGAATGATCACAGTGATCACACACACACCACCGAGTATCAGAGAAAAACAAATCAAAACCAAGGACAGATATATTATGACCTTAAGACTCTGTTTCCTGATACTTGAAAACTAGGGTTTGATTTAGGTTTGGGACAACTGACAAAAGGCCTTGATTAAATTAGCTCAACATGATCGAAAAAAGTCCATAAACTTGAATTGGAGCACCATTTAACACTGTTTATTTGCAGATAAAATTTTACACCTATAAAAAATGTTCAAGAAAACGTTGCTATCATTTTCTATGATGATCATAGATATTTATCTCTTTGTACCTAAGATAATTACTTTTTGAGCAATGCTTTCGGAACTGATTTTACTAATATAATTTGCAAACTTAATTCACTGTGACCATTGGATTCATTATAGGCCTCCATCAAACATTGAAACTTAGTGTTGATGTAACGATTCATCAATCTTCTATCAATGACTTTTGGAAAAGAGGAGAAACACAGTTAAAGTCTCTCCCTTGGCAATCACATATGTACAGGGCATCACAGAGACATGCAACTGTTTCGCATCGACATCAGACTATAAAGGAAAAGAATCAAATGGTAATAATTTCAGATAATAACTCAGACAGAGTTCTTAGTACCACATTTTTTTTTTTTTTTGTAAAATCGATATTGACAAAAGAAATCTCACAAAATAAACAAAGATAAAAGATTATGTAAAGAAAACCTTATTAGAAAGAGAAATTGAAATAAAAAAGATACCGAAACTATGATCTTTCAATTTAGAGAAAGAAAAGGCTAACATTTATGATTCCTTTTTCAGAAAGAGAACAAAATCACCAAGAATTTGATAAAGAAACAATCCTCCAAAAGCTCTTAATTGTCGCCATGCTAAAAGAACAAGCATCACCTTTGCATGCAACAAGACAAAAACACAAAATGCATGTGTGTGTGTGTGTACATATAGATCTACAATTACAACTATATGCATGAAAAGATGTACGAGATAAATGATAATGTACAACGAGACCGGAGACACGAGAGAGAGAGAGGAGGGGAGAGTTTTTGAAAAATTTACACTGACCTGTTTCTTTCTCAAGATTTTGCTTTAATTGAAAGAGAAGACAGCTAGAGAGAGAGAGAGAGAGAGAGAGAGAGAGAGAGAGAATTGTTGAGGTGGAGATGTAAAATAGCGGTGGATGGGGATGAGAATTTATATCCAACGGAAACGAGGATCTTGGCCGGTATATTCCTCTCCCATTCCGCTTCTCTCTCGCACACCAGTCAAACTACTCGGCCTGTAAACGACGACGTTTCAAGCAAAAGAGACGTATGTACCACTTGGTGCCTCTTTCGTGGTTTTGCTGTGTGCGCGTAGTGGAGAGTGTACAACACCTGCAATGTGTTTTCGCTCCCAAAGCGTGTCACGTGTTTTGATTCGGACGCGGGCAATGTTGTCATTTCAACTCTTTGTTTTTTGAATTTTATGGTCGATATGGCAGTATTCAACTTAAATTTTGAGATAATAACCCATTAAGTCTTCTTATTTAACCTAATAACAAGTTTGTGGTTGCTTATTTTTTGGGGAGGGGGGAGGATATGTTTTTTGGAATTTAATAACTCAATCTCATCATATTTGACTTGAAGGAATTTCGTTGGTTTCCTGCTATTTTCTCAAATATTCTTATCAAAATTTTCATTTTAAATGTGACAGCAATCTTCATCATTAAATAAATAAGTCTTATTAATATTGATGATAGACATTAAGTCTCATTAATATTTTTAGTTCGAGTCTAATCTAAGTTTATATGTTCCTCCTCTTGTCACACAAATGGTACCCATCAAATTCAGATAAACAACTACAAAAATTAAATTTAGAATTTCGAGATAAAAACTCATTAGGGATTCTATTTTAACCTACCTAACAACTTTGGTGGTCGAGTACTTCTTTGGGGGGATGTGATTTTAGGAATTTAATGACACAATCTTGTGTTTGGCTTGAAAGACGTTTGTTTGATTTCCTTATATGATTATGTCTTTATCTCACCTCTCCTCAGTTTTGATTATTACTTTTAACATTTGTTTTCCAACCAAGTATATCACTCCACTTGAAAACTTTTAACCAAAAGTTGTAAGTGAACCCAAACAATTGTAAAAACATTCTAAAAACTTATAAATGACAATACATAAACAAACGGTATCATAGACTTCTCCTTATTCTACTACTAAAGTGATGCAACCACTACACATAGGGCTCGAGTGTTGGCTCAATTGAGCCTCATCAAATTCATAACTTAACCAGCATTCTTGTTTCAATGAGATCAACACATGGTTTAACGGTTGGAGATCCACCCTCTATTAGCTATGCAAGTTCGAATCTAATTCAAGTTTACATGTCCCTTTTTCTCTTGTCACTGGAGTCTGTCAATGTAACTTTTTTGTGTCGATTACTCTATCGAATTTAGATATACTAGTTATCGTAATATGAGTGAGTTTAAAATATACACTTATGAGAAACGAAACAATGATAACTCGTTTTTAGAGGATATATAAAAAGTGTTGAACTTAAAACTTTTGAATTATCAAAGATCAAGCATTGAATCACACTTCAAATTTTTTAATTAGTTTATATTGTTTAAAAATTAAAATAACCAAAAGTGCTCTTCTATATTCGGATCCCGAGTATATTCTTTTTGACTTTCATAAGAAATTACTGGACCAAAAAAAAATAGACGGTGGCCCGGTGATAACCATTATGACAGTGATTATTTAAAAGCCAAGGAATATTCTGACTTTGACATTAAGTCTTAGACAATTTAACAAGCTGATACAGATACATTTAATACTTGAAAAAGTAATGGCACTAAAGGTCCTTTGTAAAGACGGCTGCCATTAACCTTAATTTAAACATTAAATTGTAATCATCATGGCATTCCTACGGTCAATAATAATTCAAAGTTGGAGGCTTATGCTAGACGAATTTTGACTTAAGTAGTATCGACGCGGAAACGAGAAACTCATACACATGTAAATTTTATGAATAATTTAAGTGATAACAGTAACGAGTTATAAATAAATTTTAATAATTTTTTAGAATTAAATTATAAAAAATTTATCCATCATGGAGATTTACTTTTAATCGAACCAATGATCAAATTAATCGAAGTGTACCTAAGCTGACTTAGACATCTTTAATCGTAAAACTTGAAAAAACAAAAGAAAAATCTAAGATGACTAGTTAAAGAAATTATATGGCAAATGTGTTGGTGCCTTGAAGATGGCCTAATTCTAAGGACGGACGGACGGACGAATACATTGCACTAAAATATCGGCAACTTTCTCCCCATCCCCGCTATGGTATTTAGTGTCCATGTGCCGTGATAAATATGTAGACCCTCATTCAAGTGCAATCTCCAGGGCGCTGGTTTAAAGTAGAGCTACCTAGATGTTTCTTTTGAGTTTTCCGCACCACGAATCATTCAAAAGTCTCCTATTTTCATCATAGAATAACACGTCCAACTATGGTTTAAAAAGAGATTTTTTTTGATACCATACCCTTTATTTTTCACCACTCCAAATATAACATGTGTAAAAGTTTTTGATTTTGCTATTTCACTTTAATTCATTATTTTCGAAATCAACTGTCACTCAAGATTTGCGACCACTACAAGAATTGAGATCTTTTAAAATAATTTTTTTTCTGGTGTTAGTGTTTACCATCACAAAAAAAAGTGTATTTTGGAGAATTTTTTTTTATGACGGTGGTGATGTCATAAAAAATTTATTTGTTGTTATAAATATTATTTGAAATAGGTTGCTATGGGCACAAAGGCTTTTTGAGACTCCAATTATTACGACAAAATGTTATGATGTCATGCATTGCCATAATAATTTGTGGTTACAACAACTGTTTTAAATAGTATTTGTGACAATAAATAAATTTTTTATGATAGTATTGTCATCATAAAAATTAAATTCTCCAAAACATTTTATTTAACGATAAATATTGTTTGTCTCAAAACACTTTGAAACTGTTTGGATTGCATCTTAAAAAATATTATTTAAAAACAGTTTTTGAGAAGAGTTTTAGAAAAATGTGTTTTGATATCTTTTGAGACGAAGAACTTGTTTGATTAGATGATTTTAAAAATAAATTAACATAGCAGAAAATAATAAAAACTGTTTAGACAATCTAAATATATGTTTGGATAGTAATTCAAAAATTAATAAAAATAATATGAAAAATTTATTTTTAGATTGACAATTTTTTTAAAAGAAAATTCAATAAACCAAACTTTAAAATAAACTAAATAGATTCAATGATTTTCATAAAAAATAAAAAATATTTATATATAAAATCAATAAATTTATATATCAATTTGAATTTCAATATATAAAATCAAACCCAAGCTTTACATGAATGCATAAAGCATAAGCATCCTGTTCACACACCGGGTTGTGGGCAGATACACACATTGCCAAGGAATATACACACACACACACAAATTGACAAACACCTACACACACACAAATTGACAAACACCTACACACACTGATACCGACACGCAGACAAAATCTAGCTCAAAAGAAATCTAATTCATCTAACAAATTTAACTCAAATAATCTAATAGAGAGAGAGGCGAGAGAGTGACTGAGAAGAGAGAGCTTCAGGTCTCTGGTCTTCGTTGTAAAAAGACGGGCGACGAAAAGCTCCGGTCTTTGTTGTTTCGACGACGGCGATCGGTGCATAGGCAGAGAAGAGAGAGAGAGAGAGAAACGATAAAAAAAGTAGAACTTTTATACTTTAACAAAAAAAAATGTGTTTTACTGTTAAAAAAGTTTGATGGATGGACCGTATTAAAGAGGAGAGGTTGTTTTTATTATTTTCTATTTTGCCTTGAAAATTCAAAAACATCAATTATATGTTCTTTAGTTTTGTTCTCAATTCCCATTTGTTTTGAAAAAATATTTTTAAAAATTATTGTCTAATTAACATCTCAAAAGTTTTATTATTTTTGAGAACAAAAAACTGTTTAAGAGACATAAACCAAACAACTCCTCCAATTCTTATAATGGACTAACATGCACATAATCAAAGACACAATGATTCTTCTGAAATTTTACAAACAAGCCCCACTCTTGGGTGGAGAACATAATGAAAAGGCAGAACCAAAACATTCAATCAACCACGCTCTTTATATTGCCCTTTGAACAACAAAAGTAGGCACTTGGAAACTCCAAAGTGGAAACGTGCGTCTGGTTTTGTGCGCGGACAACAGTGGTAGTTCAATGGGTTGTTCTTTATCTTTTTCCTAGCTTGTCGACAGGCTAGTCGTCAATGATGCCCAGCAAATTGACAGAGAACAATACTAAAACGGACTGAAAATTTGATCCCATAAGGTAATTTTATTGGTTGGATCGATATATTTTAAAATTATTTGTCATTTTTTATGTTGTGATATTATAATTCGTCGGATGAAATCCTTTTCTGTCCCAAAACAATCTAACCTGTTTTTTATATTTGGGATTCAAAACTCTGTATACTTTAATAAATAGATGCGAGTTTCGTATACGAATTCCTTTTAATATATTTTTTCTTAATTAATTTTATAAAGGTGGATCACCCACAACATATAATTGGGAAACCCATCAATGTATCATACAATTTATTTAAATTCATGAAAATGATTGATATTTCACTACAAGAATTAGGGTCTTCTAAAATAAATTTTTTGTGAAGGTAATGTTCACCGTTAAAAAAAAAGAGCGTGTTTTGGAATTTTTTTTTTGTGTGGCAATAGAACTGTTATAAAAAGTTTATTTACTGCGACAAATATTATTTGAAAATAGGTTGTTGTCATCACAAAATTTTTTTGAGACTCCACTTACTACAACAAGATGTTGTGACAACATGTCCCGCCACAATAATTGGAGCTTCAAAAGTCTTCGTGCCGGCAGCGACCATCTCAAATAATATTTGCAGGTAACGAATAAACTTTTTATGATAGTGACCACTGTCGTCATAAAGAATTTGTCTCAAAATACCCTAATTCTGATACAAGTAATACTATACAAACTTAAAAACTTGGCTTGAAGATATGATTGTTATATTTGTCATAAATTTAACCATAGATCTCAATATTAATT